TTAAGGATTTACCATTGAGGATTTCAGCTTCGGGTAAGTGGTATCTCTTGATCCAAGCCCACCATGGAATGATCGATGTATCGAAGAGCACTGGTTCCTCGTTACTCGTCGTCTCCGGATTCTCTTCCAGCCATTTTCGTCTCTTGGCCTCTTCCAAAATCACAACAAGTTAAGCACATTAGAACCGGTTTACACTAAACCATTGGTTATTGGATAATAGAAACAAATCGGGGAATTCGAGGATCTAACCAGCAACGATTACAGAATCCCAATCGGTTTTTCCATCTTTCTCGAATTGTTTCAGATCCCAAGTTCCGTTAACCCATTTCGCATCCTCGAATTTGATAAGCGTCTCCGTCGTCTTCATCTCTTCTCCAACTTCTACGGTGGTGGCGATTTCTTCTTTCTTCACCGCCGGCGGTGTTGATGGCGGAGCTTCTTTGACTACCACCGCCACAGGATCGGTTATCCCACTGTTAGAGGAAGGGGAGGAGTTAGCTCGAGTGACGGAGAGGAGAGAGAAGCGGTTCGTGGATAGGAGAGAGAATGAGAACTTTGGGATGAAATTGGGATTATGAAGAGATGAAGAAGAGATTGGCGGGGAGAACAACGACGCCATTGTTATGGTTTTCTTCTTAGCGCTCTCAGCTCTCACTTCACTATAAAATTTTCAACAAGAGGTTCTAAATAATCTGTTGATTTGGGAGAGACGTGTTATCGTCTTCTATCACATGTATGTCGTTTCTTTCTCTGAAATAGAAACTGCGTAACGTTTTTCCACTGCACTCAGTTGGGAAAAAAACAAAACAAGAAAAAAAAAAAAGTGAAACTGACAAGTATCTTCATGGGCTCGTATTATAAGCCCATCCTGGCATTTTGGAGTGTTCTGAGGAATTTTTATCCATTGATGGCAACAAATTTCCTATTCTAGTTACTCTGCTTGGGATGTTCAAAACAAAAAAAAAGTTACTCTGCTTCGAAATCATATGTTTTGTAAAGAAGAAATTATAAAGAACTAGGTTTTTTGTAAATCTGAATTTTATTAAACTGTAAAAGGGTAATACAAGAATTCAGTCAACCAATAAGGAGGACAAATATACAATATAAAGAAATCAACAGAATCATAAACACAATTAGATAACTTATCTGCTACTTGATTCCCTAATAACATGATCTAAAGAACATAAAGATAATTTACCTATCCAATGACGTATATCAACCAAGAGATTACCCAAATCCGTACTTCTTTCATTCCTATCCCCTTCAAACCATACCTTTCGTAAACCCTTATTCCACAACCCTTGAGCCACATACAGAAAACCATTTGCTTCAGCCTGTACAGTAGAATTTACTTGAGGAAGCCTTGCCCATCCATATTCAATACATCCTGTATCATCCCGTAGAATCCATCCTACACCCATAAAATCTGTACCAATTCGATAGGTTGGCTACAATCTCTCTTTTTTTTTTAATTTTGTTCTACTAGAAAAAAAAATTACCACCATAAAAAAATGAATAATATTATTTTTGATTCATAATTCAGTTGCAATGTTGAATACATGCGCTAACACATGTTACTGATGCCAAATAAAATAAAATAAAAACTTAAATAACTGAAGTTTTAGATAAAAATTTAAATAACTTGAGTTTTAGATAAGAAATAATGGGCCAACAACAAAAAAAAAGTCATGATCGAAAACTCTAGATAAAGAACTCGTCTAAAGATTTAGAAAAACACAAATTAAGACAATCAAGATTCCACGAGATATCTTTAATTGTCGAGGAAACATCATCGCCTAATTATACTTTTGGACCAGAAGTGGATGGATCATCGCTCTTCAGTGGTGATTCTTTGATGACAGTTGTTATCTCGTCAAGAGTATGACCGTTCTGACAAAAAAAAATGAAGAAAAAAAACTAATCTTATTAATCACTTCAACATGTAAAATCACTTAAGATGCGATTAAAAGTATAAAATTCAGGGTTAGTGTTATTGCATCAACCGGTGATCATATTGAATAAAGTATGTGAAAAGGAGTATGTGAAAAGGAGACACTACCATTAGCTCATAGCTCGTCATCGTTCTAACCTGTTCTGGTTTTAATTCGCCATTGAGGATTCGTTCAGCAAGCACTTGTGAACTCTACAAACAAACGAGAGGAGATTACTATTATCACTCAAAATACAAAATAAAATAAATGCTAACTTAATTTGATACTTGCAGCAAACTAATACCACTCAATACAAACAATAGTTTTAGGGAAAATATATCATACATGGAATATAAAATAGACTCCTATATATAATTATTTTAATATCCCCATAATCTACCAGATTCCCCCTATTCTAGTTCAATCATCAAACATCAGTATCGAATTTCACACAATAATTTATGTATTTTCTATAAAGTATAGCATGTTTTATCTATTTCATTGTTCGTTTGTTATATCAACTTCCGAGACCAAGACCAAGATCAGCGACATTTCATACTATATGAATTAAATAATTGCCACATCCTAGGGATTCTAAGCAGTACATGCACACACACACAAACAAATGATAGAGAATGGAATTAAACTAACCTTGAATGTATCAACTAGCTCCTTCGATATGTTATTGTACTTTGGCATATCCTCTGCGAAAGACTCAAATAAAACATGCTCAAGAGCACACACCACAGGAACTGCATCATCTGGCCAGAAAGGATCATAATCACCAGCTTGTTTCTTCTCTGTTACACGACACTTGTGCTTCACCGCCTTTAGAAGCTCATCCAATCTATTGTCACGATCCAAATTTCCGGTTAACATACCAAATTTCTCCAAGATAGGACTCAGTCTCCTAGGTTTCATGGTAATATTGTGCTCCTTCTCAATGTCAGGAAGATCGCCAACTCGCGACATCGTCTGTGCCAAGAGAATATCAATCTCATGTTTTTGCTGCTTGTTAAAATCATTATCAGTGAACTTTCGCAGCTTCTTCTTAACAAAATCGTAAAGATTCTGCACAATAAAACCAGGATGCTCTCTACGGTTTGGGACTTTCTTGTTATCCGGCACGAAATGCACAATGCAATTGTGCTTCACGGATTCAGCAAACACTTCATCGCGATGGAAACTGTAGAAGAGGTCCCTTGCACCTTTGGATTCCCATTTTCCGAGATATTCTTCATCGACATCTTCTGGACGATAAAACCACTGCACTACAAGCTTCATGTATCCTTCTTTGCCTTTTATATAAATGTCCTGTCCAACAATATAATTTGATTAATATACGCTAAAAACTGAAAATTATGTCAACATTTCTCTTTTGATTTTTAACCTTTATGATAGCGGCATAGGGCTTTTGGTCTGCGGACTCTCCCATCACTAACACCGAATCCTCCTATGCAAAAAATAGTATAAATTATATAACTTGGAGCTTTTGTTTCTATTAAAATGTTGTCCAAATTGTTATGTGATTTTTCTTTTAAACACTAAAAAGCTGTTGTAATTAGTCATAATAAATAATTAAGAAATCTTAAGGAAAACAAAACTCACCAGTCCATATTTTCTTCCATGAAACTCGAATTTCTTGTAGTGCCATTTCTTCTTAGGTCCTGTACCAGTAAACTTAATCACTTTGCCAACTGGCTGCGCACAATTCTCTCGTTTCCACTGCAACTCTTTTTTCTTCTCCATCGGTCTTTTCTCCGTATTTTTATTCTTTTGCATAGTCTGCTTCCTTACTGTTTGTTCGGCATTATCCTTTGAATCCTCTGATCTAGACAACGAAACAATGTCTTTTCCACTGTCTTCATCTTTGCTAATCAACACTTGACTGAATTGCTCGGTCAACATCTCTTTGGTGAACATCTGATACGGTTCCAAATTGGATTTTAACCCTACAGTAAAATTATAATCATTAGAAGAGAAAATGTTGGCATCAACCTCACAACATAATTTTTTTATGCCTGGATATTTAATGAAATAAAGAAAATAAACGATGGTAGATTAATTTGACATCTCAACAGAACACAGTCTTTATGATTCAGCCTAACATACAAAATATACGTATAAAAGTAATCAGCCAATATCTGAATAGTAACAAAAAAATGAGTTTTATAAAGATTGTGATATAGGCTAGGCTAATTATTTTATTTTTTAATACTAAAATACCTTAGACATTGTAAATGTATTTCTAAACCTAGTATATTATAAACTTTCTAAACTCAATCAGATAAAATGTATAAATTACCAACAATGAGTTGGCGTAATGGTTAAGCCTCTTAAAATGCATAAATTGCCAACGATGAATTTTGGATGTCACAGGTTCGATTCATGTGAGTACTATGTTCGATTCATGTGAGTACTATGTTGTATAAAACAATAGTTAAATTACTCGTCTAGGGGATGTATATGCCCAGACCTCCTCCTAATCGTAATAAAACAAAAAAAAAATGTGAATTACTAATGCTAGTTAAAAATTGAATCACCCAAAAAAAACACCCAATCAGTCTGCACTGATTAGTTTTCTAGGTGATGCCTTACCCGAATATCCGATTAACGTCTAGCGCATTCTCGAATACAGGTTTTATGAAAATTTACTAACAGAAAATTACTCAAATTTTGTAATAAAAATTACTTTGATTATCTAGATTAGCTATCCAAAATTCGTACTTTATGTTTATCCTAGTGGATCATTATTTGATTTGATTCCATTTCGGTTTCCGCTACCAAATCAAAGTATTCACACATCCCAAATTTCTGAAATAACCGATTATTTTCCGATTAGTTTTCTAAGTGTTAGGCCTTACCCGAACACCTGATTAACGTCCGGCGCATTCTCGAACACAGATTTTATGAAAATCTACTAACAGAAAACTACTCAAAGTTTGTAAGAAAAATTACCTGGATTATTTAGATTAGCTATCCAAAAGTCGTATTTGATGTTATCCCAGTAGATCAGTATTTGATTTGATTCCGTTTCGGCTTCTGCTACCAAATCAAAGTATTCACACACCCCAAATCTCTGAAATAACCAATTATTTTCCGATTAGTTTTCTAGGCGATAGGCTTTCATGAGCACCCGATTAACACCTAGCGTATTCTCGAACAAATATTTATGTGATATTGTTCTTATTTGTTCTTGTGTTTATTACGATCTGTTCTTATTTGTGTTTTGAACTTTTTCAGTACTCATATATAATAATCTTCAAATGAATACACTACTAAATAACAATAGATTTATTCTTCAAATTTCCATTTTTAGTTAAAGACTTATAAAGAAATATAATAATGTAATATATATATATATATATATATTTAATATTTTTGACATAATAAGTAATATTCATAGAATTCTTACATCTTTTCAATAAACAATATAAAATAAAACTTATTTATATGGTGTCAGCCACTCTTTTCATTTTTGTTAACTAAAAAAAAAAATTTGATGAGCTGTCATTTACAAAATTTCAGATTGTGTTTTTGAGATGTATTTGGATTTATTTCTTTAATCGGTTTATGCATGCATAGGAGACCATAGACTTTGAATTGTGGAAGAAATTAAAAAAAAAATCCTTTTAATTTTCTTGATAGCCTTTTTAATTTGATAACACTCATATATTTTGACAGCTTTTTTAACTTATTAATATTTCCCATTAATTTTATAAATAGCCTTTTTAATTAAGTAATATTTTCTTTTATTTTTCTTAGCAGCCTTTTAATTTAATAATACACACATTTTGATGGGATATGTCTTAAACATCATTAATAATATAGACATGCATGAAAATTATAGAAATATTAATTAAAAGATTAGTTTTTGACAGCCTGTTTAAGTTAATAATATTATTTATGTATGCATTCAAATTTGTTAAATAAAACAAGGAAATTTTACGGAAAAACCCCTCAATATTAGTCCAATCCTTTTTAAACTCTCAACTATTTTTTAGTGAAAAAACCCTTGGTTTAGATCCGTTACAATGAAATCAAACCCATCTACCGAAATGTTTAATCCCCTAACAATTTTTTGTCGATATTAACATAATGTTTATTTCAAATCAAGAGTAATTATAAAAAAAAAAAAATTAGGACTAAAAAAGTTAGAGTTATAATTATAAACACTAGGAATTGAACCCACGCGAAATCACAGGGTGACTCATTTTTATTATATATTTTAAAAAAAAAACATTTGCAGTATAAAACATAACTTAACATAATGATAGCAACAGTTTTTACTATTGCTTGCTTGTAAATTGATTTTACCAACATTAATAATTGGACATGTCTTCTGGCACCCATTAAAATCGTACGTTAAACCTAAGGGAAGATCATTTGACATTTGTAATGATGATGTCCTTTTAATAATAATGAGGAAGTGTTATTTTCCCTTCACTTAATCTTAAACTGAAGATTGAACAATATATATAACAATGAAAAGACATTATTACAATAGATTGCAACTGTTCACTTTTTTGCTAAGAATGTAAATATCATTTTAAATGAAAAGTTTAGAGAATACAAGAAACTCTAGAGAACTGAAACTTTTTGGCAAAAAGGGAAAAAAACAAGGAGACAGTAAAACAAACACAATAAAGTGGTAAACTTCAGAGCCAAAGACACATAAGGCCACCGAAATGGCGCCTACTACGTCTTGTTGTGATGGTATCAGTTACTTCCCAGTAAATTAATCAACTTGAAGATGATGACTGGAATCAGATAGTGTCCATTGTGGAGGACGTTGTTTCTCTACTTCCAAATGTGGAAAATAGCTGCCTGCATGGCTAGTTTCCTCATGAGAGATGGAGCTTCTGTTGTTTTCTTATTATACCAAGATAGTAGCTCCGATCAGGACATTATGGCGCGATGCGTCGGATCTAGTCTCTGCAACACCAACTGCCAAATCTCTGAGCTGAACCTGCATTCGACAAACAAATGATCTCATGTTTCCGGATCTCTTCCGCACAAGCAAAAATCTGAGGAAGTTATAGTTCCCCAAGTGACAAGCCTTGCTCTGGTTGGTATTTTGTTGAGATTAGTAACCCACAAGTTGAAAGCATGTTTTGGCACTGAACCCTTGAATCAAACCGAATTGCTCCACGGTTTCGAGTCCGCCCTAGGTCTCACCGCTTCCCAAGTCTTAGGCTTTGAATGGGAGTATAGAACTAATATAATACAAACCAAGTCCATTCCAAATCCAGTTGAGCCTGCATTTGACAGCCATTCACATCTTTTTTTTTAAATCAACAAAATACAGATCATTTATCTTTCAAACTGTATGCAGTTTATTTTATTTGTTAAAATTTGAACTGCAAGGAAAGAATTCTTTAACACCTGTTCATGAACTGTATTTAATTTGAACTGTATTTGTTCAGTTTGGACTTTAAATTTTATTTGAACTGTAATTTATGAACTGTATCTCCATTCAAAGCCTTAATTGAGCTGAAACCATTGCAGTCAAAACTGTCTACAATCCCACTAAAGACATTGGATTTTTCATCGTTGTTGGGACTGTGATAGTTGTAAGAAAAACCTGCAATTCCACAGCCTTTTCTGATCTTGACGCTGGTAAGTTCCAGGTGCCATTTGAGCATGCCTCTGAGACCTTGGCTGAGGAAGGAATGCATAAGTCCCTCGGTCCTGAACGGCCCCAGTGGAGTCCAGACATCAAACCAGAAACTCGTTGATTGACCATTACCCACTTTTGTCCTCAAGAACCTTTCAGCCAACAGTCTTAGCTTTAGAATAGATCTCCAAGCTGCCGACGATTTGGGACTTTCTTTTATGCTCCAAAAAGAGTCCCCTCTAATGTAATGGTGATTATGCCAAAGACTCCATAGTGTATCTTTCTCTGCAAATAACAGCCATATGAACCAGAGGCAGAGGCCCTTATTCCAGTCAGAGAAACTTCTTATGACGAGACCTCCTTCGTTTTTTGAGAGACATACAGTTGATCAAGCCACTTTTGCTCCCTTATTCGATTCAGATTGAACCTGACCATAAGAACCTTGGACAGAGTGAATCGATTTGTTTGATTTAGCCTTTAGGGAGAACAAAAGTCGATATCCAAAAGTTAACAGTTCTGGATATCACCGAAGCAATAAATTGTGCTCTCCGGGCAAAAGAAAGCGTTTTTGGAGCCCAAGATCTAAACCTTCCTCTGATTTTCTCCATTAACGGCTCATATTCCACGATTTTTAGCTTTCTATGCATAAAAGGCAAGCCCAAATAACGGATTGGAAGTGAGCCCTTCGTGAAACCATATTCTTCCACTGTCGTTGATTCCACTTCGTTTACACCTGCTAAGAACAACTGTGTTTTATCTTTGTTCATTTTAAGACCATACCAGCTAACAAAATTGTCGAGGGCCTCCATTATGCTGTGGAGCGATGAGGAGCCACCGTCGAACAAGACCATCACATCATCTGCAAACATTAAATGTGAGATACCGAGTTCTTCAGTTTTTGGATGGTACATGATATATCCCGCATCAAACCGAGAGTGAAGCACCTTAGAAAACACCTCCATTGCTAACACAAAAAGATAAGGGGAAAGGGGATCTCCCTGTCTCATTCATTTTGTGCTCTTAAAGAAACCTCCCGAGTTTCCATTTACTGAGACGGTGAAGGAAGCCGTTGTGATACACTGCTCAATCCAGATGACAAATCTCTGCGGGATGTCTATAGCTTTTAACGTTGCCAAAATGAAATCCCAGCGGACCGAGTCAAAAGCTTTCCTCACGTACACTTTCAACATTCCTCTAGGCTCAATGTTTCTCCAGTTATAACCATGCACAATTTCAGTTGCTAACAACACGTTCTCAGCTATTAGTCTTCCAAGCATAAAAGCAGATTGCGGGTTTGAGATTACCT